TCCCGGTCTCCCGGATTTTCAGGGAAAGATGTTGGCAGGTATTTGTGTGAGCCCAGTGCAGGAGGGCATTAGGATATTGCTCTATTCTTAACCATGACACACATTCAGTATTAATCCACACAGTGGCAAAAGCTGAACTATTTTGAAACTTGACCACTGCACGTGTGTAAGAACAGCTGACGATGACAAACAGCACTGGAGCGCGAGCTCACAAACGCATTGAAATCTGTAAACAAAGCAGCACGCGTCGCGTTTTTAACATGGCATTAGACACGATGTGAGAATATAAAGAGTTAACCAGATACAGTACATCATTTGCAAGCTAGAGAAAACATGGAGGCAGCCATTTAAATCGCACTTAAATTACTTACACTTGTGAAATGGAGGGAGAAACTGATCCATGATCCACTGATCCATGTACTGATAAAGTTCCTGTCGAGCTCTGACAAAGTCCCATACATCAAGTCTTTTCTGCTCCTTCCTTTATCAAACGGCCAACGAATGCCCTGTTATAAGCGTGTTGATCGCTAAAGCACTTGTCAGAAAAATGACAGGAACAAAGCACAAGGCTGGGGCTATAATGCTGAGATATTTTTGCACAAATAAACCTCAACCACTGACTCTTCACAGTTTCATCTTTGGGTAGAGAAAATAATGCTAACTTTACCCACACACTTCCTGTAATATCCAGTTGAGCAACCGGCGTCTGCTACTGTGCTAGTGGGCGGGGCCGCAGGTTTCAATTTTCCCGGGTTTGCGCGCGCAACAATTGGGTGGGGCTTAAGTTGGTATTGACTTCACGCCGAAACGACTAAAGACTCATTATCAAGTCGACTCTTTTATTAATAAATCATTAGTTTTAAACACTGTGCACTTTCAGATTTAAGCCTTAGCTGGATATTTCACTTCACTTAGAGCTGTGTTACACTATATTTTCTTCATATAATTTTAATTTTTGTTTTGGTTTTTTTGATGTCTTTTAATCATCTGCTGATGATGTTTCTCTAAATCAGAGGTGCCGATCGTTGTCGTCACTACATGGTGGAGATGCAGAGCAATGGGAAGTATGTGATCCTGGGTGAAGATCGAGCTCATTCTTCTCTCACAGACCTGGTCCAGTACCACACTCAGGTGGGCATCAAGCCCTTCATGGAGCTGCTGACGGTGCCATGTGGACAGGTGAGCTCTATGGTGCTTTATGTGAATTATAGGAGTACCTTACATTTAAAGGCACAATGAGTAGTTTTAAATCACTAGAGGGCGATTTGTTTATTTGTTTGGTTATTTATTATCTTTTTTTTTATTTTTACCATGTGCTACAGATGGGATATGGCTTGTGAGTAGGAAAATATCACATGGATTCCATTTAAGATTAAACAAAATGCTGCTGTTAGTTTAAAAACAAATGCAAAGATTATGATATTAGGCTTTACTGATACTATTTGTTCGACTAAATGTTGGAATATTTTAAGGGGGAAAAATCTACATGCTGGAATTCACATAAGGATCTCATTGCCGTGACACTGCTTCAAGTTTTCTTTTTTTAAACCGGAAGAACGAATTTGCTTGAAATAACGCAAAAACAACCAGTTTTCACTTGTTAGTGAAATATATGTGTCCTAATAGTGTTTTTGAAAGCGTGGGACACATATATGACTGTCAACATCTCAAATAATGTGTTTCGTGACCCTTTAAGTTTTTAGTTATACTCCCAAAATCATTCAGCATTCATATTCCTTAGCTAAAAATGTCCACAGATTCTGTCAGGCCCTGTCCATACTTTAAAAATCAGTATTTCATATGCTGCAAAACAGGAATAAAGAGTGAGTGTGGTTTGTGTTTGGACAGATGTGCGATCAGGAGCCGGACTATGAGGAGCTCAAGGCTTTTTCCTCGGCGGTGGAGAGCGTTGACGGTCCCGCTGAAAACATGGACACGGGGTCAAATAAAGTGCACTTGCAGATGCAGAGACTGTTCCTGCCACCAGGAGGAAACTCAAACCATGAGCACCACCGAGCCCCAGTGCTGAAGCGCATCTCTGACCGCCGCAGACGAATGGAGGCGGCACAAACCGAACGCAAGGAGGAGGATCTGACCAATCAGAGCAGGCCTTTCCCTCGACTCTACCCATCAATACGGCTAGCCATGAGGGAGATCCAGCAAATCCAAGAGGTATACACACAAACAGACATGTTGCTATATCCTGATACAGACTCTCATATCTGTTGATAAGGAAAACATCCTCTGACCATTCACAATACCAAGAGTAAGATAGATCAGGTATGGATCACATATCTGATGAGCTGTAGAGGGAGGAATGTTTGCATGCCTAAATGCATTGAGTTGCTGCCATGTGATTGGCTGATTAGAAATTTGCATTAACGAGCAGTTGGACAGGTGTACCTAATAAAGTGGCCAGTAAGTGTATCGCACAACAAATCATTCTCATTGTCACAGACCAACTTGCAGTTAAACTGAATGAAAGATTGTTGATAGTTTTGATGTTTGTATAGTAAGTTCTTTGTTCTCGTAAAGATGTAGTAAAGACAATATTTCAACACATTGCATAATATAAACGTATTTCCTGCCAGAAAAGCTTCATTTGGGCGCTGTGGGGAAAATGCCACCAAGTCAGTGTGAGAGCCTGACGTTTTAATGTGGGGTTTTTCTTCCCATCTTGTTCAAACAAAACCACATTGAACGCATGTTTCTTCAAATGCCTTGTTTTTCATTTCCAGCAGAGCCAAGAACAGATCCAGATTCCCTCCAGCAAAGACCTGAGCTCCTGGAAGAGGACGGGTGAGAGATTTCATCCATAAACCCTTTTCAGTCTTAAATATAAATTTTTATATTTCTTATATTATTATATTTAGAAAGTCATACAGGTTTATGGATGAAAATAGTTCAGTTACATATACGGTACAAGTCAGAATTGTTAGCCATCCTGTTCAATCCCCAATTTCTGTTTAAAAGAGAGGAGATTTTATCATCACACTTCTAAATAAAACAGTTTTATTAACTCATCTCTAATAACTGATTTATTTTATCTTTGCCATCATGACAGTAAATAATATTTGACTACATATTTTTCAACTAGTATTCGGCTTAAAGTGACATTTAAAGGCTTCACTTGGTTAATTAGTGTATAACAGGGGTTTGTTCTGCAGGCAATCAGAAAAAAAATAGCTTAAGGGGCTAATAATATTGATCTTAAAATGGTTTTTAAAAAAATTTTAAAAATGGTTTTTATTCTAGCCGAAATTAAACAAATCAGACTTTTCCAGAAGAAAAAATATTATAGGAAATACTGTGAAAAATTCATGAATCTGTTCAACATCATTTGGCAAATATTTGTCTAAGAACCAAAATTTCACAGCAAATTTCAGCTGAACCTTCACTGAAAGTCATGCAGGTTTATGGATGAAAGACGCTGACGTTATTTTATAATATCAGAATGAATGTGTTAGTAAATGTGGCCACAGAGCAGCTTATTAAAGCTCATTTTTACGCCAGGTTCAGACCGCACTGTATTTATCTGTTATCATAGTAACTAAAACAGATGTTGACTCTACACTCGTGTGCAAACAAAAGCCTGTGAAGGCAAGTGGAGTTCTGCTTTCCCTGATCTCAGAACTCAAACCTATCATAAGTGTCAATTTATGAAATTAGGATTAATACATCGTCAATGAACAGTCGCTCCATTGATGTATAGTATGATTCATGTTTGGCTGAGATACTACTATTCGAGAATCTGGAGTGTGAGGGTGCTAAAAAAATCTGACTGTAGAGTAAATTGTCTTCACAGTTGGATAAATGAAGCATTTCATATAACTAATTCAAATTAGGGTTTGATTATTCACTCATTTATTTATTTTTCGGCTTAGTCCCTTTATTAATCAGGGATCACCACAGCGGAATAAACCGCCTACATATCCAGCATGTGTTTTACACAGCGGATGCTCTTCCAGCCGCAACCCATTACTGGGAAACGTCCATACACTCCCATTCACACATGCACTACAGACAATTTAGCTTACCCAATTCCCCTATAGCGCATGTGTTTGGACTGTGGGGGAAACTGGAGTAGCCGGAGGAAACCCACGCCACGGGGAGAACATGCAAACTTCACACAGAAACACCAACTGACCCAGCCGAGACTCAAAGTACTTAAAACTATTTTAAAAATCAAACTGTTATGATAAATTAATAATTAAACCTATTAATCCCAATGATACTGATGTAATTCGACATCTGTTAACGCTTGTGCACTGTTTAAATTTACTACTCTTTAATAATTCAATGATTCTGATTTCAACTGTATGTATGTATATATATATATATATATATACACACACACACACACACACACACAAATATATTTATATAAATATATAAAAAAAAAAATATATATATATATATATATATATATATATGTGTGTGTGTGTGTGTGTGTGTGTGTGTGTGTGTGTGTGTGTGTGTGTGTGTGTGTGTGTGTGTGTGTGTGTGTGTGTGTGTGTGTGTGTGTGTGTGTGTGTATATATATAGTTAAAGCGCCCATTTTGTTCATTTAGGAAGTAAATTAATAATTATTTTTAATGTCTGTTTCAGATTCATGACTCTGGAGAATGAAACTACAGACGTGTCGATGCTGCTATCCTTGGTTTTATTATTTACTTCATGATCATGTGAAATGTTGAAACGTTTGTAACTTAATTGTTCCTGTCAGTTGTAATTTTATGTGTTTTTATTTAATGTAAACTTGCTGTTTTAGGTGATCGAATAAACAGTTGTGTTTCATAATGCAGACGCCTCCTTGCTTTCAATGCCAGAATGAAGAACGCAGAATGTAAAATGAGTCTCCTTTGAAAGCTGCTTGTTCATTGGCTGATGAATATGCAAATGTGCTGTTGCGTTCAATAGGAGGAGCATTGAGGACTTATATAAGATCATTCAGCGTCTCCGATCACACAGAAAGCCTGAGGAAATCACCCCGATCTGCTGATGGATCTCATTGTGTTGGGGATTTTACTGTGCATCGCCTTCAGCGGCGCTCAAGGTAATAAATCAGAATCAACTTTATTCTTCAGATTAAATTTATGTATTTAAATGTTTATATAATGTATAACTTTATATATAAAAACTTTTAAATAGCAAAATGATCATATCTCATCTCGTTTTGAAGTCTAGATAGAATTAAATTGATTTGATTTTACATGCATAGAAATTATATTAAACGCAAGTCAAGTTTACTAAAAATGTCTAAATAATTGAAAGATAATGTATCATAATAATGTCGTCATCATTCAGTGTAATAAATGTGTAAAAATGAAACCGCATATTTCTGTAGATTAGTTATTTTTTAATATGCAAATAAAAATTGTTAATTTTTTTTTTAATTATTAAAAACCTTCACACTAAGCTGTACCACGGGCAGCTGTAATCCTTAAATAATGTTTCCGGTGTGTCATTAATTTATATGCAAGATGTCTTTTAAACAAGCTTTTGGTTTTAAATGTATTGAATGAGATATAAGTGGCTGTTTTCTGGAAAAACCTTTTTTGATAAATGTAAGACACTATAATGTAATGAAAAATAAATGCACGTTAATTATTTTCATATGTTAAATCTCATTTCATATGTTAAAGTTTCTCTCTACATCCAGTTGAAGACATAATTATTTGGGCTTCTGTGAAATTAATTATTTTTCAAATATTTGCGATGTTTTGTTTAATGAAATATATATATATACACAGTTGAATTC